TGTTATCCCTGCCTGGCTGAAAGAACCGTCATGGGAAAAGATGAAAGTTCTTCGGACATCCATCAGGCTCGAACTTCAATCCTGTATAAAGTCGTGGCTGATCTGAAAATTTTGCTTTTTCTCTGAATCGTTATATAACTTAAAACACTTAACCACAGTACTACTAGTCCCCCCCCCCCCTTTAAAAAAAAGGTTTAACTGCGATTGGTCTAATCGGAGCATTGCATCGGCCTATCATTATATTTTACTCAGTTAATGTAGATGCTTCTCTTTACTCAAACAAACATAAATCTATTTGAGCATCGGAGAACGACTAAAAAATTAAACAAATCATTGCATTTTATGCATATAGGCGGATCAAGTGATCCCCCAAGGGCGCTCATTATGCCTGCTTGTCTCTGTCAGCTTATACATATATAATAATATACAGAATGTAATTACCTTTACCAGAATCCCAGATCTCATACTTTCGAATTTCCATTTTTGGAAGACAGATGAGATTCCTTTTTTCTTTCTTTTTTTAAATGCGAGTTTCACTGCTCCTGTTATCGAACTGTCAGTTGATGAAAGAAGGAACCCCATCTGTCTTCCAAAATAGAAATTCGAAAGCATGAGCTTCGGGTTTCTGAAAAGGTAAATATAAAATGAAATGATCTGCTGAATTCTATAGTTATTTTTCAATGCTCAAATAGAGTGGTGTATTTTTGAGGTACTGGCATTGGTAATGGTATCGTTAAGAGAAACATATCGATGTCACGCGTAAGCAGAGCCGGGAAATATTAACCCATTGAGGATGCCTTGGTGTGGGTATTTAAAAAAGAGGCATAACTTCCATATTCTTAAAAAGTTTCAATTTTGTTTTATTTATCAGAAATGTCAATGAGGTAAGCAGCAACATGCATACTTTGGAAAGTGCAAATGCATGTTTCTGATTTGTGGATGATGGGTTGAAATATAAAGCAACATTGCATCTGGTCTGTTAGTGATCGGGCAAACGTGTCCGGTACGTCTCCAAAGAGTTAAGACGGACAGAAATAACAGAGGAAAACAAAGAGGTAGGACCTACCAGTGACGCTCTCTGACCACCCGCCCAAACGGACTGACCTTATGATTTTTTCAGGGTATAAATGGAACTGCCCTTAACTGGAATTTGTTCTCTCTCTCTCTCTCTCTCTCTCTCTCTCTCTCTCTCTCTCTCTCTCTCTCTCTCTCTCTCTCTCTCCTTCTCCATCTGTCTCTCTCATTCGATCACTTTCGCTCAATCACTCTCATACCCCCTGTCCCGAACCACCACGCATATATACTCACACAAGCACATGCGTACACTCAAACAAAGAAACAAACAAATCAAACACATCCCCTCTCACTGTCCCTTTGCCTACCCTCAGATGGGCGCTGGTTTGGGCGCCGACGCCATATCCCACCTGGAGGAAGTGTCCAAAACAGGGCTGACTGCAATGTCCCAGGCTGGCACTGTCGCCGTCATCCTGCCCACCACCGCTTATAACCTCCACCTCCAGCCGCCACCCGTGAGGAGCATGATAGACAACGGGGTCATTGTTGCGCTGGGGACTGACTTCAACCCCAATGCTCACTGCTTGGCCATGGTGAGTTAATGTTTTCTTAGATGTACTACAACACACGTTTTCCATGTCAAATCAAGTCTGTAACGTACACTAACCCCAAAGCTCTCAACTCTGTCGTAGTGAGTTAATGTTTTCTCGGATGAGCAATAACACACGTTGTAGCCCACGTCCATGCCAAGGCGAGTCTGTAACACACACCATTCCCAATGCGCGCTGCTTAGCCTTGGGTCATAATGAGTTAATGTTTTGATGGTTGAGCAATAGAGCAGTTTCGCGACAAAAACGGATGTCCATTTTTTCCGGTTTTGAGCAAAATAAAGATGTATTTTGTTCTCGACCCAGTTACTGAGCTATCTTGAGCAACTTTGTTTTAAGAGTAAACATGATGTAAGGCTTAGTTGATATAAGTTGTATGATGAAATCTATGTTGGATTCTTATCCTTTAAATTGACGAGATAACACATGTTTGACAAAACACGACATATTCACATTACAATGAAACGCAAAGGAAAGAATCGCCAACAAACTTTCGTCCACCATAAGCGAAGTTGCGTGACTCATCTGGGGTAATTGCACGCACAATAGTTGAAAGTCAAGACCAACCCCCCCCCCCCCAACTCCCGAAAAAAGCCCCAAAAACCACACACACAGAAGGCTATTGCAAATATGTATTTCTCCAGTCACTGAATTTCGTCCGCTGCTTTACGACCCCCCCCCCCCCCCCCCCACACACACACATCCCTACTCTCACCCCTTGACGCCCATCATGTCCACAGCCTCTGGTAATGAACCTTGCCTGTGTCACTATGAAGATGTCCATGCAGGAAGCTCTGGTGGCCGCTACCCTCAACGCTGCGCATGCGCTGGGTCGTTCAGCGCGCCACGGTTCATTGGAAGTGGGCAAAGTGGCGGACATGATCATTGTGGATGCTCCGAGGTTAGTTTGTTTTAGTTTTTAAAAGTGTTTTAAGGCACTTTGCAACACAATTAGGTCTCATAAGTGCTAAAGATTAGAGGGATAACAAGAGAGTAACAAACACAAAAAGGAAGACACATAAGGGCGATAGATGTTTCATAGGAAAGAAGGAGCAAACCACACCAGCGCACCTGCGCTACGAGTTTAGTTGTGTTATTTGTTCGGTGCAGTTGATTTAGGCCCAGTTAGACACAGAATAAGCCTTTTTCATATACGGAACACATTAACATGTTATCCCTGCCTGGCTGAAAGAACCGTCATGGGAAAAGATGAAAGTTCTTCGGACATCCATCAGGCTCGAACTTCAATCCTGTATAAAGTCGTGGCTGATCTGAAAATTTTGCTTTTTCTCTGAATCGTTATATAACTTAAAACACTTAACCACAGTACTACTAGTCCCCCCCCCCCCCCTTTAAAAAAAAGGTTTAACTGCGATTGGTCTAATCGGAGCATTGCATCGGCCTATCATTATATTTTACTCAGTTAATGTAGATGCTTCTCTTTACTCAAACAAACATAAATCTATTTGAGCATCGGAGAACGACTAAAAAATTAAACAAATCATTGCATTTTATGCATATAGGCGGATCAAGTGATCCCCCAAGGGCGCTCATTATGCCTGCTTGTCTCTGTCAGCTTATACATATATAATAATATACAGAATGTAATTACCTTTACCAGAATCCCAGATCTCATACTTTCGAATTTCCATTTTTGGAAGACAGATGAGATTCCTTTTTTCTTTCTTTTTTTAAATGCGAGTTTCACTGCTCCTGTTATCGAACTGTCAGTTGATGAAAGAAGGAACCCCATCTGTCTTCCAAAATAGAAATTCGAAAGCATGAGCTTCGGGTTTCTGAAAAGGTAAATATAAAATGAAATGATCTGCTGAATTCTATAGTTATTTTTCAATGCTCAAATAGAGTGGTGTATTTTTGAGGTACTGGCATTGGTAATGGTATCGTTAAGAGAAACATATCGATGTCACGCGTAAGCAGAGCCGGGAAATATTAACCCATTGAGGATGCCTTGGTGTGGGTATTTAAAAAAGAGGCATAACTTCCATATTCTTAAAAAGTTTCAATTTTGTTTTATTTATCAGAAATGTCAATGAGGTAAGCAGCAACATGCATACTTTGGAAAGTGCAAATGCATGTTTCTGATTTGTGGATGATGGGTTGAAATATAAAGCAACATTGCATCTGGTCTGTTAGTGATCGGGCAAACGTGTCCGGTACGTCTCCAAAGAGTTAAGACGGACAGAAACAACAGAGGGAAACAAAAGGAGTGGGATCTACCAGTGACGCTCTCTGACCACCCGCCCAAACGGACTGACCTTATGATTTTTTCAGGGTATAAATGGAACTGCCCTTAACTGGAATTTGTTCCCCCCCCCCCCTCTCTCTCTCCCTCTTTCTCCCTCCCCCCTCCCCCCCAGGTGGAGTTCTTGCTCTGAAAGATTACTTTAAACGATTTTAAAGTAAAATTTTGCTTATGAGAGCTCTTTTTATTGTACAGGTGGGAGCACATTATCTACCAGATGGGCAGCCATGACTCTCTCATTTCTGCAGTGATGCACAAAGGACAAGTAGTACATTCTACTAACCTGTGACTGTCGTGATATCCCCTTCTTCACTTGTCCGCATACAAAGAGAGAACTCAATATATGATGAGCATTGTCACGATTACTTTAAGTCTCTTTTGAGTATGAATATCATATCGGCAAAAGCACCCCCCCCCCACTCCCAACCAGTAAGCATCATCATCATCCGGTGCCTTGCCAACTGGCGTGGGCGATCATGGACCTCCACTTCACTCTGTCATAGTAAGCATAGAGATTACAAAAAAAGCCAACAAAAGTGATCTGCATTGCTCACCCCAACGTCACAGTAATGTGTTCAGTAACAAGTATAACATAAATTTTGATTATTTGATATAATATTTTTCTTCATTTTTTATATTATAGAGGCAAAGGGTAACTTCCAATTAGTAATTTACATGATAATGCAGCTTCATATTTTTTGTATATTAAATTTGTAATGCCATAAATTTCTTCTCTTATTCTCACTTCCTGAAGCTTGTTTTCTGTAACAGTACCGGTAACGTTTTAAGTAGCCACGAAAATAATTGACGAGACTAGTAAACGTACCAACATCACCTCAGAGCATTGAGATCTATACGCCAACAGACCGCCCTGAAAGGGGTCATCTTGCTTTCATTTTTTTAAAAAATGGTTCGCCAGAGCATGATTATCGATCGTGATGAACTACAATTACCCTATACATAGAGTTTTACTATTATTACCACCATTATCATCATAATAAAGCGCAAACACTTTCAAGTACTGTCATTGTCATTGCATTGGATTTAATCACAACAATGGTGACAACCCTTAGAGGGAGGTATATATATTATTATTGCATGTACTTCCTCTGAGGTCAGTATCCTCACGGAGGACGAAGCCCTCAGTCGTTAAAACGACCCACATTGTGTTCAGCAAGGCGTTGAACTAATACGACAATAAACCTTACAACTTTACGCTGTTTAGTTTTAGTAGAGGTTTTACGGTGTTCGCAACTGCATAAGGTCATATGAGCGCCAGAAGATTAGAGGTGTTACAAGAGAGTAACAAACATAAAAAAGAAGAAAGGGAGATAAGGACGATAGATGCTTGATAGGAAAGGAGCAAACCACACCAGAGCACCCTCCGACCACCCACATATGCAGGCTATGTCATATTATTATTATTATCATTATCACCTCATCATTATCGGTACCGGCAGTGGCGCTAGTAGCAGCAACTGCAAGAACAGTGGTTAGGGATTGGTAGGAACACCATCACCACAACTCCACCTTCTACGTTACCCACCATTGCTACATGTATTGTTCTTTTGCCTTCGAAGAAACGGATAAGTCTCTTCCGGCCCGGTTATATTATAATGAAGCAGATAATAAATAATAATTGTGTCCCTGAGTTCTCGAGCTCAAACAGAATTGGTCTATAGAAATAAGGATTTCTTCTTTAAGTATACTTGATTTTATAGGTGACACAAGATCATTTGTTTAGAGATATTATAGGTGACACACAGACACCATTGTTACAACGCAAGACAGAGTGAAGTGGAGGTCCATGATCGCCCACGCCTGTCGGCAAGGCACCGGATGATGATGGTAGGTGACACAGGATTACTCAACAGGCAGGCTTCCGACCCTGCTTGCCAGGGCCAACCCGGGCTGAGAGGAAAATACATCATATAAGCAGAAAGACCGAGATACTCGATACAGTAAAACGTTTCTCCCCTCACGGGAATCGAGCTCAGATCAAACTCGCGTCTCCTGCGTACGACAGACAAACGTCTAGATCTAAGTGCTTCACCGCAGACGCCGGTCTACAGAAATAAACAGTTTATTTGGG